CAAGTCAATACGACCGTTGGAAGTGGTCTAGGTTTTTGATGAGTGAGTCAGTCAGTCAGTCAGTCAGTGAGTGTATAGTAAAAATAGCGATTTTCTGACGTCAATATCTCAAGACCTACAATAGGTACATTAATGAAATTTTGTATTTTAGATAAGTAAGTAGATCTCGACAGATGCTAGAAATTTCATATGCGTAGATAAAATAGATTTTGAGTTATAGGTGGGTCGAACTTGGCCCGAAATGGTTCGTGTAATATAACCCACGGCCGGTGTGTCGCTTTTTTTGCTCGAACTTGGCGGACACACTGCCGTGTGTCTAGATACGGCCGTGCCGCTTTCAGCTCGACTTGGTGGGGGCACTGCCATGCCCCCAGATACAATAGGTACCGAAAGTAATTATGGTGACATTGGTGAGGGTGACAGATTTTAGTTTTTTCCTACTTTACCATTTAGTCGCGTTTTTCTAGTTTTTCCAAAAGTTTAATCCGTATAATTTTATATCAGAATTTTTTTATGAGTGCAGTTACCACTTTAGTAATAAAGTTATGAAAAGCGCAATAAAACTTTATCTGTGTTTATGAAAGTAAAAAGTTTATTATGGTTAGATTAAGCTTTATGTGGTTAGTTGCCACATGGATAAGTGGAGCTAGAAATAAGTATGGAAATAGACGTAATAGTAAGTATGGCGAAGGACAGGACACGTGTTTGTCGGGTGGAGCAAAACTTTGTCCCAGTGGTTGCCAAAAGTAGGGCGTAGAAGCGTAGGTGGTTCCACAGCTAGATGGGTTGACGGCATAGTAAAGGTTTTCGATAGAACCTGGACTAGACCAGCACATGACATGGATTTTTAGCATAAGATGAAGGAGACTTATACCTAGTGTAACAGTGTGGGATACGGCCTGAAATTATGATAAACTTTATTTACGTAACCGATTATATGTATGATAGGCAGCCATGCATGCATGATACCTATGCCCGGGCTAAATTTTGCGCGTATTTTGCCGAAAATCCAATAATATGTTCCGGTGTAGGTGCTCAAATAATGTGTGTGCAATGGTTTGTTTTGCTACAAATATTTACTCAATTTTGGTAAGGCCATTGGTAATATAATTTTATTAAAGAGAATTTTCCGTGCTCTATAACCTAACCTACCCATTTAGGGGATCGACTTATACTGATTTTTCTTAGGATTTGTTTGAATAAAAATTTGATGAATCTAGACACAGCTAAATGTAGATAATAATGCTCCCATTTATAGAACTGGGATCTAAATGTCGCCACTCACGGTTGGTCATAAAATCTATAATTTCAAGTCGTATTAACTTCTTCCTGGTTTATAGTAATATCTAAACAGTTACCATTAGAAATTAGCGTTACGTTGCCAATTAGAATTCTGTCTTTAAATAGTTCCTCTGTAGATACAGGGGTACAGTGTTTGGGCCCAGTATTGTCGAACCCTAAATTGATTTTACCCGAATTGAGTCAATTTTCTGCCCGACTTACTAGGAACAACAAACTAAAAGCGTTTACAAATTTAAATATGGCGACCTTTCCAGCTTCAGATAGTCGACGATTTTCACCGCCCCCACACGGAAACACCGGTAAATTACAGATCAAACGGTATAACGTTATCTGTGAAAAACTACAAACGAAAGCGAATGAGAAGACGGTCTAAAAATATTAAGCTGACGTACCTACTGAATATGTTCCTAATTGATTTGTATGAACTATTAGAACAGCGTAGGAGTAGATCTACCTAACTAGAAATTACGTTAGAGTGTAGCTATCAAGATGGTAAAGATTAAATATAGATAATTAGAAATAACTGCTATGGTTGCAGGTTTGCCAATGTAACATAAATATCTGTACGCATCGACTATAAACGCCACGCAAAAAATGGTCAACAAAAAACCTAAGCTCAATCTTACATTGCACCATCTTAATTTGTATAGAAAAATCAGCAGGTTTTCCACACTGCCACTGTACCTCCCGTGCGTTCGCGGCGGACCCAGGTCTCCGGCCGGATGCCTCCGGAGACACGGTGCGGTCCGCAGGGTATGACACACTGAGCGCTGCATTACCGCGTACAAAGGGACGGATGGAACAGGGGGAGAGAATGCAAGACATCTTGCACCGGAGCTCCGAACGGAGGCACAGAAAGATCCTTGCGGTATTCTCTATCCGTGTCTCCGCAACCGCATCCGGATTCTGTTTCTCCGCACGCTAGAGCGAACTGTGCCAGTGAGAGATTTGAGGCTACTCGCTGCATTCGCCGCCAAATGACAGTTGTATGGCGCTCCCTTTATCACTAAGAAGAAAAGAGAGCGCCATACTTCCATTTGGTGACGAAAGCAGCGAATGACGTTCTCAACTATAAGAGTCCGAAGACAATGTAGATAACCAGAAGCTCTGAGTTACAAAGCAGTTATGGTCGGCACACATCAACCCATCAACTATATAATTGAGTTCGGATCACAGTGCGCACTTGAATTGCATATTGCATAATAGGTGGAATTACATCAGCAACCCCCCGGGATGTTGAGGGTGTCAGCCAAACTCACCACACTTGACAGGCGGGTTGGCGAGCGCATTACAAAGTGAAATCTGTTGGTGGGTGGCATTATACATGGGGGGGACCGTTCAATGAAGAATCTCGTGATGTACATGTCAATAGGCTGAAATAATATTGTTAAAAATGTTATCGCTAGAATAGGTTCTAGCTCGATGCAAAACTGACTGTCATCCATTTTATTTATTCAAAGGCAAATTAATTTATTTGCCTCCAATTTTAAATCTGCTCGGGTTGACCTGAATAATGCCTGACCTAACATTTATCTGCTTTCAAAAGTCTATTTTAATTATTTTTAAATGTCTATGTCCAATTCCCGATTCTAACAGTTCGCAATTTTATACATTAAATTAATTTTATCTCTTTGTGATACGATACTTATTAGGTATGTCCAGTTTGGTCAGGGCACTAAAGGAATATTCAATGTAGGTTTCCTTGCAACCTGAATAATTTTATTATTTTATGCAAACTGATGTAACGGACATGTCTGGAAGCGTAGCAAGCTGAAGTGGCAGAGGGCTGGGTGTTCACTTTTGTCGTAGAACGATGGACGGTAGAGAGAAAGCGGGTTCCTGAGTAGCCAGGTCAAGTTTCGGCAAGCGTAGCGTTGGACGGACACCATTCTGCTATATGAATGGACCGATGACTTAGAGGTCGGCTCGTAGCGACTACATTATTGCGAAAACATGAAACCATGTGAAGGCCTAACTTTAGCAGTGGACTGTTATACACTAATGACGCGATAGCTGCTTTAAATCAGCCTACGGTTACACAGACAACTTATACCCATGCTTAAAGCTTGACAACCAAAATAATACAAGATGTTTTGTATGCGACTCAAATGTGAGTGCAGTAAAAAAGCGCAAAGTTTTCGGACGTGTCTAGCATGCTACGGATTAACACGTTTACTACCAACAGCTGCTACGAAGAGCGTAGCAAATGCATTTTGAAAATAAAGGCAACGAGCTCAAAGGCTAGCATGAATACAACAGAATGTGTTACAAACTGCAGGTTGAGTTTGTTTTACTTTAATTCCGGAGGGCTTGAAGCCCATGAGACTCGATCCCGCGCACACAATAAACGGTGTTATAAAGTTTGCCATTATTACACATTTTACGACAAAGGTAGAACTTTTATCTTGTCTACGTCAAAGGGTTGATTGAAACATGATTGAAACCCTAGGACTTGATTAAATTTTTTGAGTACAAAACAGACTTGGGTGTTGGAACATACGAATATACGGAAAAGCCAGTAAAAATCGCAAACGGTCAGGTCACTCACCTAATAAACTCATCACAATATCATTATCATAAAGCGAGATGCAAAATAAAGTAGGCATGAAGATATGCAAGCTACAAAAAATATAATATCCATAAAGGTAACAGATTACTCGTTATAATACTTTAGTGCAAGGCATGGCATCAAAGTGGCCATGAAAATGTGCACTTGATACTTCATATCTCAAGAATGCATCTTAATCGCTTGTCGAGTCGTATCACGATCATCTATCATCTCCTGGCATGCAAGTATCAAGAAGTGTTTCGAGATACCTGTACAAATAAATTTAAACTCACGAATGTCCCTTGCAGGGTAGGCAGAGCATGTACGTGTAGTATGGAGGGCGTTTTCATCACATCTCCATGTGTATTAGATTTTCGCTTTTCCGCGATGCACTTGAATTTCACTGAATTGAATTTGCTGTGGAACCACGCTATTCTGCCTGCATATTTCTGTCTGCCAGCATAAATCCCAACCATACCTGTGTGGAATATGGGTTTTGATCCACAATTCATGGAGATTAGGCAACAGACGTTTAAGGAAAACATTATTAACCGCTCGTGTGTGATCACAGTTGTCAAATCAGTGTTAACCATACTATAGGCGTCCGTCTCAAATCAGACGCCTCACACACGAAGGATAAATGCATATAAGCCTACCTACTACAACCTAATATCACAGAGGGATTCGCGGATCGAAGCAGATAATCTATAAAAAAGCATCTCCGCTATTGTTATACCGCCCTAGTACTCAGAACGAGGATAATCAATGTTGCGGTGTCGCATTCAAACGACCGTACACGAGATGGGCAGCCACTATCAACCGTTTTTGTTCCAGTCTGTTCTACAGGTACAGAGGTTTGTATTTACAGGATGATGCAAAAATTGCTTCTCCTTCATCGAGTGGGACACCAAGTCGTCCAACAACCCGATGAACCCGATGTTGTCCGAGTTTTTCAACTGCCTACTACAAGTAGCAGGTCTCTGTCATGGTTGTGTAACGACCGCCGTCTAAGTGACCGACGACGGCTTAACGTGCCATTCGAAGCACGGAACTATTTTTTACATTTTCGGACAACCAAGTGTTTCAGCCTGCAATGTCCTGACTAGACTGAGTTTTTTTTTAACAAAGTGATAAATATCAACTTTGTGAGTGGCCCCACCGGGAATTGAACCCGGAACTTTCTGCGTCGCAAGCAGTCGGCACTAACCACTGCGCGACAGCCGATGTTGGTTAGTACGACTGCCTGAGTCTGTCGCCAAATTGCTGAAATATTTAAACGGGTTCATGTGCTGAACTATTTGTGATTCAACTCTAATTCCTGAAAAAAGAAACAATGTTAGATAACGCTAATACCGTATTGGCGAAACGCAGTGAAACGGTGAGATGGGCGGGCAGTGCCTATCTTCTATTATTGTTCAGCTGTTCATACTACCCCCACTACGCTACGATTTGTATAGGTCCTTCCACTGAATAGCTCTGTTCATTCATGCCACCCTACTAGGTGATGGGTTCTTTATTCTGTGGCGATACGCTTTGGACGCACTGAAGTATAAATCCTAACAAAATATCAATGTAAAAATGGAGGCCAAGTATTTCAAATTACCTAAAAATGTTAATACTAAGCACAGGCAAGCTTATGATCCAAGTATTTCAAATTACCTTAAAATGTTAAAACTAAGCACAAGCTTATGATAAGGAAAATATCACTCACCCGAAAGCATTTTATAAAAATATTTTTCAAATTGGTTAAGTATATATTTTTAATTACAAATACCTAAATTATTATAAGACGTAAACAAATTCATGAAATTAACAACTTTCAGGCCCGGCCGACCGACCTACATACAAATAATGGTATTCCTTTTTTCATATTTCGTTTCGAATTACGTTCCCTGTTTAGTTTTACGGACTGCACAACGTCTTAAAATATTTTTATTTTATTACATGTAACTTCGAGCTCTTCCGTCCCGTTCCGGCCCGGAGTCCAGCGTTCCTTCAAGATAGGTAATTAATAAATAATAATGAAAACACTTCTTTTTCCATCATGTAAGTTTACTTTTTGCCATAAATAAAACTCCATTTGTAAGTAAACGTTTGTGAAATAATCCAATGAAATGGCGATCGATTACAGACGCGATAAAACGTAATTGATGCACCGATCCCGCGCGCGGCATAACCGTGTCATGCAAACTCATACTGCATTCACATAACCAATGCAAATTGCAATGAATACGAGAGCCCGAGCTGTCGGCTTCGATGGCATGTCTACCTGACTCGGTCCCGGGTCGCCACAGTGCCGGTTCATCACGATCCGCGGTATAACCCACAGTGTTTGATTTGACTCAAAAAATTTCCCTATGCTGTTTATTGCATGAATAGATCAAGAAATGCATTAGAAATGCATGTAAGAAGGTCCCGCGTGTCTATTTCAAATACTTTTTTTTATAAAAAACATTTTGTATTTCGTGACCTTGAAGGGCAAAAACTATACAAAAAGCTTTGTAACAGTGTGTGATCATGATATATAATTTTTATTTATACAATTTAATAAAGCATCTTTAGGCACATATTTCTCCGTTTTTATTTTCAGAATACCACTTATACTTACCGAGTTATGTACATTTTTTCATAATTTTGTTTTAATTTTTTTTCTCCAAAAATACTCAAATGTGGGACTTGTGACTAGGACTGAAATATTGTTCTTAATTAGGTCTATTATTGACAAAAAAGCCACGTTCCTACTTGGAAGCGTTTGGGAGTTACAGACTAAGGTCAAATTGTACATTTTAGGGTTGTCACTAAAGGTCACACAAATAAATTCACAGCGTAAGTCATTTAACATTTTTTACGGGTGATTCAAATAATGTACTTGAACATTATAAGGAATATTGGTCCGGAAACGAATAAAATGTGTTATCTTCGTCTCACCTACTTTGATAAAATAGTAGTTTGCGTACTCAGGGATGGAAGTTATCAATCGCAACCGAGGTTTTTTGACGCCCGAACGCAGTGAGGGCGGCAACTTTCCGAGGTTGCGATTGATCTTACACCCGCGGTACGCATACTACTTTACATAACGAATGGAAAATAAGTAAAATAAAGCGATAAATACAAAGAATAATCCATAAACGATTATTGTATCGTCTGGTAAGCAAATGCAAAATGGAACGTGATTTAATCGTAATTTTTACCTTTGTTGTCGTATTATTGTGTAGTAATTCGACAAAGTAATTTTTTGAGGCTGTAAATTTAGGAAAACGTGCAAAATTTTCACCGCAGGCTGGATTTGAACCAGAGACCTTCGCCATCTATACTGGCTCTACCAACTGGGCTACAGCGGCGCACTCCAAGCCCGCATACGTAGTAAATATAAAATGAAGTCGCTTTTTGCCTCTGTCTGTCGTGGAATTCGCCAAATTCTCCTTAACAACGAAAAGGATTTTGAAAAAGGTTCTGGTAGGTATTAGATAGATAGAGTGATTCAAGAGGAAGGTTTATATATATACTAGCTTTCCGTCCGCAGTTTCACTCGCGGTATTTAGCTGTTTGGTCTAATAAAAATTTTAAATACATTGTATTTCGAAACGCAAATCAAATAATCGTTCTGAATGGAGTTCAACTATTTGACAACAGATGGCGCCACTTTACTTAATTTTAAAAGTTGAGGGATTTGAAAAGCCCTTATATCTTTAAAAATACGCCCTTTAATTTAAAACGGGAACTTTCTTGTTCGAGGGGAGATACAGGACTATTGCACTATACGGGGTGTTAGGGACGGTGTAACGAAAACTTTGCAGGCATGACCAGACCATCAAACTGAACAACTTTTACTATGGAGCCAATGGTGGGAAACGAAAACAAATTTCCGACCTCCCATACAAAATTCACGATCAGCTGACTGACTTTGTATGGGAGACCCGAAATTTTTTTTCTTTTCCCACAATTGGCTCCATAGTAAAAGTTGTTCAGTTTCATGGTCTGAGCACGCCTGCTAAGTTTTCGTTACACCGTCCCTAACACCCTGTATAAGTCCAATTATTGTTCCGGGAATCCTTTTAAAGTTTTATCGGCACATACATTTTATCAACTTAGTTTTATTATATATAATGATTACACTCACCCGCCCGATGAAACTTGTACCTACATAGGTACTTACTTCTATCATGCCGTGACGCCATGGGGCTAGTTTAACAAGGTACTAAAATTCAACAAAATATCTACGTAAATATTAGTGCAGGTAACAAAATAGCATAACAACACTAACATAAGAAAATAATTTAAAGGTTTGTAATAGTAGAAAAAAATTACGAATTTTGGCCAAAATCAAAGGTCAAGTTGAGTGGCAACCCTGACCCAATATTTTGAAATTCAATAACTCGTAAACGCTTCCAAGTAGGAAGATGATTTTTTTTATTAATGATAGGCCTAATTAAGGACAATCTTTCAGTCCTAGTCACAAGTCCCACATTTGAGTATTGTCGGAGAAAAAAAATTATAACAAAATTATGAAAAAATATACGTAACTCAGTAAGTATAAGTGATATTCTGAAAATAAAAACGTGGAAATATGTGCCTAAGGATGCTTTATTAAATTGTATAAATAAAAATTATATATCATGATCACACACGGTTACAAAGCTTTTTGAATATTTTTTGACCTTAAAGGTCACGCAATACAAAATGTTTTTTATAAAAAAAAGTATTTGAAATAGACACGCGGGACCTTCTTACATGCGTTTCTAATGCATTTCTTGATCTATTTATGCAATAAACAGCATAGGGAAATTTTTTGAGTCAAATCAAACACTGTGTAACCGTGTCATGCTAACTCATACTGCATTCACATAACCAATGCAAATTGCAATGAATACGAGAGCCCGAGCTGTCGGCTTCGATGGCATGTCTACCTGACTCGGTCCCGGGTCGCCACAGTGCCGGTTCGTGACTATCCCGCGCGCGGTATAACCGTGTCATGCAAACTCATACTGCATTCACATAACCAATGCAAATTGCAATGAATACGAGAGCCCGAGCTGTCGGCTTCGATGGCATGTCTACCTGACTCGGTCCCGGGTCGTCACGGTCCCGTTTAGTCACTATCCCGCCCGCGGTATAACCGTGTCATGCTAACTCATACTGCATTCACATAACCAATGCAAATTGCAATGAATACGAGAGCCCGAGCTGTCGGCTTCGATGGCATGTCTACCTGACTCGGTCCCGGGTCGCCACAGTGCCCGTTCGTCATGATCTTAACAACGGTATAGCCGTGACATGCAAACTCATACTGCATTCACATAACCAAAGCAAATTGCAATGAATACGAGAGCCCGAGCTGTCGGCTTCGATGGCATGTCTACCTGACTCGGTCCCGGGTCGCCACAGTGCCGGATCATCACGATCTGCGGCATACCCGTGTCAGACTAACTCATATTGCATTCACATAACCAATGCAAATTGCAATGAATACGAGAGCCCGGGCTGTCGGCTTCGATGGCATGTCTACCTGACTCGGTCCCGGGTCGCCACAGTGCCGGTTCGTCACGACCCCGCGCGCGGTATAGCCGTGCCATGCAAACTCATAGTGCATTCACATAATCAATGGAAATTGCAATGAATACGAGAGCCGAGCTGTCGGCTTCGATGGCATGTCTACCTGACTCGGCCCCGGGTCGCCACAGTTCCGTTTCGTCACGATCCCGCGCGCGGCATAACCGTGTCATGCAAACTCATACTGCATTCACATAACCAATGCAAATTGCAATGAATACGAGCCCGAGCTGTCGGCTTCGATGGCATGCATGTCTACCTGACTCGGTCCCGAGTCGCCACAGTTCCGTTTCGTCACGATCCCGCGCGCGGTATAATCGTGTCATGCAAACTCATACTGCATTCACATAACCAATGCAAATAGCAATGAATACGAGAGCCCGAGCTGTCGGCTTCGATGGCATGTCTACCTGACTGGGTCCCGGGTCGCCACAGTGCCGGTTCGTCACGATCCGCGGCATAGGCGTGTCATGCAAACTCATACTGCATTCACATAACCAATGCAAGTTGCAATGAATACGAGAGCCCGAGCTGTCGGCTTCGATGGCATGTCTACCTGACTCGGTCCCGGGTCGCCACAGTGCCGGTTCGTCACGACACCGCTCTTGGTATAGCCGTGTCATACAAACTCATACTGCATTCACATAACCAATGCAAGTTGCAATGAATACG